TTTTTGATAAAACTCTTAGTTTCAGAGCTATTCTTAAAACTTGAAAACATGTTTTTTTAACGAAAAATGACACTTTTTAACAGCGAATAACTCAAAAAGTATTGATCTAGCAAAAAAAATGTTTACTACATTTTTTGTTTAAAATTTATCCTTCTATCGAATAGCGTGGTTATTTTGAGTGAAAAAATTTCCACCCTCGAAAAGGGGTGGCAAACACCCCAGAGTGGAAGCGCACATCGGCACTATATAACTTTTGTTCCTTGAGTAATTATTTACCAACACACAAAATTTCAAATGAATCGATTCAGTTATAAAGAATTTGGAGGTAAAAACCCTCAGTAATGTAGCTTCGCCTATTTTTAAAATTTTAATATGTTTGTCCTTGTGTAGTGTAGTGTGATGTACAAATTTATGTTCATAACATTTTATTCTTGTTGAATAGACCACAATTGACGAAATGCCCTTAAAGATGCTCTAGGAAGCGAAAGTACTTGGGCAAGATTTAATTAATAAAACTGTGCTCGATATTTGATTTTATTTGATCAAAGTTTAATTATGATGTGCCTTGAGCCTATAATATACAAGAATTTAATATAGTCAATGCAGTGTTGGTCATAGTCAATCAAAGTTACAATATTTCGTCATTAAGAGACATCCAGAGAGGTATAACCTTCTACATCTCATAATACAGGGTAAGATCGCCGGAAGGAGAGGCCCAGGCCGACGAAGAACATCCTGGCTCCGAAATCTCCGAGAATGGTATCAAGAAACCACCGCTAATTTATTTAGAGTCGCCGTAAATAAAGTTATTATTGCCAATATGATCGTCAACGTTCGATAATCGGACAGAGTACTGAAAGAAGAAGAAGTGTTGGTCAATAATTGTTTGTAAGTGTGAGAAGATGTCTTTAAATACAAAACAATATAATCTTTAAAGAACCTTTACAACATAATAGTACCTAATCAAACATTTAAGTAAATAAGATTCGTTTATTGGTTTAACTACAGAAATAAGTGTCCTCGATTTCAGGTCAAATCCCGGCCTGCATAATTGCTTTATTTTGATTTCGCTGAACTAGTATTATATAATTTTATCGGCAAAAGATCTCTATCTTACTAAACATTTCGTACTGTGTGAATATTGTGCAGACAAGACAGAGTTAATTCAGGATATTTCTTGTTTGGTTTAATTGTTATTGTACTCATTGTTATTTTCACTTGCAATTGGATCACTTATTCAATTGCAAATCATTTGACCATAAATTATTTGTTATCGTAATATCTTTCAAGAACAATGACAGAGTTCAGTATGTTCAACATAATAGATCTAATTATGTTCTTCTTTATGTCATACATTATCTGTGATTTTAAGATAACTTAGAGATACTGAGTATTTGGAAAAAGCATTTTCTCTACACCGTGACGACTGTGTAGACACGGTGAATACAACATTATTTCTTCATGAAATTGTATATTGTAATTATTGTATAAATATGTAACAGCGACTGAAAAGATTTACAGCATTTACAGATTACAAAAATGATTTGATAGGTACCTATTCGTATAGGTAAGTATATACCTACAAAAAGAAACAAGAGAGTATGTTCATGGTGTATGGAGAAAATAGGAGATTGTAGAAGATATGATCAGCTGTTTAACACGCTATTGGTAGGTAGGTATTTGCTGCATTTATCAGGATTGTTAGTTTACGATAGTCTTTCTAGGTAATTGTTGTATATTTTTCCTGTTAATCAAATCCCTGGGCATTGTTAAATTGATATTATTTTTGATTACTTTAGTTTTTCTTTGGGAGTGAATAGCATGTAGGGTAGAGCATCGAGTGAGAATCTATGGACAGCTATGGAGAAGCTATGAGCATATTAACGTATGTATTAAAAACGCATAGGTAGGAGTGGCTAACGATAATACCAATATGGCGGTGACATCAGGGCCAGACTCAATAATATTAAAACTACTATACAAATATGACTAGTTATTCAGAAGATTTAATTATAATCTAAAAAAGTGCAATACATTTTTAATAAACTATGATTTATTTATCCCGCGGTAAACACTAAAAACACGATATATTATACGTAAAGGTAAATTAATACAGTCAAATACTATTAATTTATTCTCTGAAGTACGGGCCATTACTTTGTTTACATATTTGTATACTAACCTGTGGAACGATATTCCTGAAGATTTTTTATTAACATTACTTCTGCTACTGCAACTACGTTGAGAACAAGAAACCATTATTATGCACTATCACAATATATTACAGTTTCTATAAAAGTATTATAAAACTGAAAATATTCGAAAAACAACAAATATAACCAAACATACGATCTGTCAAAAGTTTCAAAACAATAATACCAATATGGCCGAAGTTAGGTCGTTTTTAGTCACGTGATGCCCTCTCCATAGATTCTAACTCTATGGGGTAGAGACTCCGGTTATGGCCACGCACACAGTTATGGCCATCTGATATATTTATTTCTATTATTAAAACTCTACTTAGATAATATCGATTCCTTTAGGGTATTACAGTAATCTCCAAACATATTTACTTTACATACTTAATACTAGCGGGCGCTGATAGTTCTACAAAAAAACTTGTGACTCTCGACATTTGCTGTAAAACTTCATAACTGTTGATTTGTTAAGAAATTTGGTAAGCAAATACTTTTTTATATTTAATTTAATTTACT